GCATCTGCCTGCATATCCCACGTATCAGGTGCTGAATTAGCTACAAGGCATGCTGATGGGTCATTAGGTGTCATTAGCCTGGAAGTGCTTCATATGAAGCATATTGCAAAAAATCCCCCAAATTAGACCAGTTCTTCATTGGGTAATCCATACGTCTTCTGACGGCACGTCAACAGGAGAGTTCAATGACTTCTTATTTGTATGTTCTAAGAAAAATCTCACTACAGACATGCAAACTGGAGAATAGGGTAAGATTTTGAAATAATCTCCAGAAGATGTTCCCTGAGTTAAAAACAAAAGAAAGTAAGTTATAATTTTTGATCCACATAATCTTGCCTTTATTTTGAAACAACATAGCCTGTGAAACTAAACCTCTTGGTCACAAACCAATGCTTTCATAAATGTTTAAATTAAAAAAGCACTATTAGCATAAATATACTCAGACATGTGAACAATAACTCAATTTAGAATACCACGTTAACATTATTAATCAAAATACTGAAGACAGACTGCTGACAACACTCATCTGCGTGCAGCATATTAGTGAAACAAGGAATAAGGCTTGTATTCTGAGATCATCTTTATACTGCAAAGCCAGGATGTATCCATCATGTCACTAAATATCATTTATAATCCATTGTAGAATAAACTCCTGAGTTAATGTTTTTGCACTGCAGGCTGTCAGAAAAAGCAAGGAAGATTTTTAATGCTGTTCATGATTTGAAAACATTCATAATTTGGGATAAACATAAAAATACTCATAGAGCATCCCTATCAGAGCCTATGAATGAAGAGGATGCGCATCAAGAGAGTCCCTGCTACACAATAGATTATTGGGTTTTCGGGAGAGTAAATGCATAAGCTTTTCTCATAGCCAGATAGCCACAAAGGCATTCTTCCTGGGGCTGAAGTGGCACTGGCATGAAATTGGTTTGTAAAACACATTGTGCATTACAACACTACCTCTAATTATGACGTGTATTCTAACTTCCAAATAATCTCTCCTCCAGAGCCTTCAAATACTGCCTTACCTAGTCAAGCAAGACCTTTTTTGAATGGTTCAGCACGTTCACGTGTGTAAAAGGAAAGCTGTGACAGGGTTTTGTGGCTCCTGCGCGGGCGGTTTTTACTCGACCCAGGAACACTTTGCTGGTGAAATACCTGACCTTTCTCGCCTGGCAAACCCTGACTGCATTCATTCTGGTGCTGCAGCATCCAACTTTTAGCTTCTTGGAAATAAATGTAGCACTGGAAAAAGGTCCCTGCCAGAGATCAGTGGCAAGATTTTGGTATCTTCCTTGGCCAAGGGGAGAGGGAAACCGTGTCAGCTTCTTCTAGTCTGTTATGCTCTAAAGAGACTGAAGGGTCAAGGATTTCATCACCAAACAAGCAGTCTTTGGCTTGTGTGCCAAGGTTGCCAGCAGTTTTAGGGGCATTGGCACCCACTCCCTGCAAGAGGAGTAATCATCCTGCTGCACTCAGTGAGTTGTCAAACAGCTGATATGCACTGGTGACTTTTGGTTTCTGGCAAAGTGCAAGAATTGCACCTTGCTAGGTAAAAGACTCTGCTGTCATCACACATCTTTTTGTCTTTACCAGTCCTGTAGGACATTTCTTAATCTGTGTGAAAAGCAATAGCTATTTGTACCAGTATATTTATTATATCATACCACACTATATTTATATCATTGAACATGTTTCTCATTTTCATTTTGGTCTGTAGATTCAGACCAGAACTCTGTCTTCTTTTGGGCTTGTTCCCAATTCCTTTAGTGAGCAAGTAAGACCGCAATTCATGATAAATGCTGTTATAAGTTTTCCTTCAAACATTCGTTGATACTACTTGCATTCAGGACACTTTTGGGACCCCTGTAAGATACAGTAATCTGTTGAGATGTGCAGAAATGTTACTCAAATTATTGACATGCGATAAAGTACTTCAGTGAAGGTTTCCTACCTGATTTAATCACATCCACAGCAGTTTCCACATGACGCTTGCAAAAGGACAAGACCTGAAGTTAAGCAAAGCTCGCACAGAGAGGTGTGTTTGCCAGTTCTGGCACCAGTATAGATGCTGGCGCTCGATGCCTTTGTTTGACTGTGTAGTTTAGCCCTTACAGTGGCAGTGGACTTCCAGAAACCAGAGGTGGGGAATGAATGGGATCTTACAGGAGTTAATTTACCTGAGCCAGCAAAAACAGAAGCACAAAAAGCCTTGTGCACTGGGCAGTGTTTGCATTACAGCCAGAATATCTTGACAGGTTCCATTTTTATGCGCTAATTAAGGAAACGGATCTTTTCCATGAAGCAGATTTGGAGTCTGTGTCTCCTCCTCTAGAATTTGGTAGGGATTTTTCAGTTAACCTCAGAGCTGTGTCAGAAGAGAGGAATGTGATGCAAAAAGAGTGCACTTGGATTTACAGGGGAAAACCCCTGAAATTAGCATTACCCTTTTTGGTGTAATGTTAAACCACAAGCAATAGCTTCTGTGAATTGCTGGCATTGTTGAAGAAATCCACAACAATGTGAAGGTTGACTGGAAATAGGCTACCTGATTTCTTTGTAGTAAGTGTTAAGGTCCTAAGTTTCTAAAATGGTATTAAATCTGGGTTGAAATACTGTGCTGCGATAGGACAGGTATTTGAAAATGTGTTTTCACTTTACTTACATGCCTCTGAGCTAGGATTTCATGTCCCCTTTTACAGCTGGCTTCATCAGTGTTTCTTAGGTCAGAGCCCAGGCATGGGGCCCCCGCGTTACCTAGCCGTGACATCATTTTCAGTTGCAAAAGAAATACAGAATCTGAAATGAAGGAGGAGTGAAAGGGACTGCAGGCTCTAGTCTATAATTGGGAATCTTTACTTTCATTTAAAAATGTCTTAGAAGAAGCTTTGTTGTTCATCTTTCCATATAAGTGGATATATTCTCATTGTCTGCTGTTAAAGAGGAGTATTTTTAACAGCTATGGAAAGGTCCTCGGGGTACATGTGTGTAATAATAATTTTTTACTTTTAAAGGAAATCATCTGTAAATCCCATTAGTTATCATTTTTCAATTTTCATCTTTCCTAAGCATGATTTAACTTCAAGTGTTGCAGTCCTTAAATCTAATTAAAGAATCGCCTTTAGTTCCCATCAGAAAGTCAACCTACTGTAGATTGTTGGACTGAACGCTGGAGACGAACAAATTAAAGCCCTTCCCCGTTGGGGTACGAAAGAGCTGCAGGGACGTTCCTGGCGTGCAGAGCGGGGCCGGAGGTGGCCAGAGGTGCAGACTTGATCCCGTAGCAGCGGGGCTGCGGGAGGACCCGGGCTGGGACTGGCAGGGGGCGGATGGAGGGGACCCGTTTCCATCTGGCGCCGCTCTGCTGACGGCTTCCTGGGAGGTGGTCCCGGCTGGGGGGGAGAGGGCTGTGACAGCAGCCTTTGCTCTGCCCCCGGCGGGCAGCGGCGGTCCCTCTCCCCACCAGCACGGTGTGTGGCCTCCCCCCTCCCCCTGCTGCTGCGGCCCCGCTTTGTGCTCTGCAATATTCGATAGCAGCATCCATGGAAACCGCCGCTGGCGGCGTCTTGCGAAAGAATTTGTTAATTAAAAGGCGTTTAAAATTGTAATAAAGTTGCTATCTTAAATCCAGCGGGGGTGTTGCAAACGGTATCCCACTCGGCCGTCGCTCTCCGAAGCTGAAATGCAGTTGGAGATGAAGTGCCCCTTCACACCCAGTTCTCATCTTCTGTTATCTTAGCACACAGTCAGAAGGCATATATTAGTATTAAAATTTATATAATTAAAACAGTGAGGGCTTGACCCAACCCGGTGACCACCCATAAACTCTATTATCTGTCCCCCACTTCAGCACGAGGCGAAGCACCGAGGGGTTTGTCCCAGCCCTCGGTGGAGCCGCCTCTGCAGTGGAACCATTCTCAAGAGCACAGAGAAGATAAAAGGGGGTGAGCAAGAAGGGAAGGAAACTCGATAGCCTGGCAGAATTGCTGCAAAATGAACATGAGGGCGAAGACGAGACAAGCGTCTCACAGACTGAAGGGGAATAAAAAGCTAAAATGTGGTTAGAAACTTGGGGGTGGTTGAGCTGAGGAAACGGTAAGTGTGCTGAGTCTGGGGGTTGTCGGGGGAAGTAACTGAATTTGTGTTCAAGGGCTGGATCCGTGTTACGTGTGAAACTGAACATCGTTCGCTGCCTTTGCATGCGGGAATCACGTGGTGCAGGAGGGTTGTAAACCTGAGAAGTTAGCAGTCTTTGCTAAAAACGGCTCTAAGTGTCACTTAACCGTCACCTAGGAGTTATTCTTTAAGGAAAGATTATGTTCTTACAATGTGGAACAGTAGGGAAAAGTAGAATACAGTAAAGGACGTTCTTTGGGGTAGAGGAGTTGATGCAGTTTTAATGTGGGTCTGTGGCTGATCACTCCCCTGGGGCAATTAAAGGAGGCAGCTGTAAGGTTGCGGGATGAGCCTGGGAGTAGATGGGCAGAACTATCAGGAAGGCAGCGCTCCGCGGGAGCTCGCCTCCAGCCAGATCCCAAACATGAGAGACTCCATGTAAACTCTGAAGAAAGGGTATTTGGCGTTCTTCTGGACACGCAGGCAGACAGGTTCAGCCCCTGCTGTTTCAAGTCTTCTTTACTAACGTTTTTTGGCAGTTCTCCCTTTCCATCGATGAGTAGTCTGAGTAGTTCTTGCTAACTTAAAGTAGCTCTGGTAGCTGATGCTCAGACTTGAAGGATTAAATGTTTGGCGTGCAAAATGAGGAGAATTAGTTTATTGGCGTTTTCTGTTCAGCAGGAAAGGACAAACAATCTAGACATTGACAATTCGTGTTTTCTTTTGAGATTGGTTTCCCATATAAAAGTGTGTAAAATAAAAGCTGTATTTAAATTTTTTCATGGAAAATATTAACTTACTCTAAGGTCAAAATTTCTCAAATTCTTATCCCTGTTATTTCATTCTAATTCTTATCACAAATTGATCTTTTATCCCAGCAGAAATAATTGGTTCCGGCCAATAACAAATCCTCATCTCGATTTCATTGGCTTGTATCTCGGGCAACACAAGAGACATTCCTTAATGGCTCAAAATATCCCTACTGGATAATGTAAGTAGACCATCAAACTAATCCAATTAAACTTTTTAACCTTTCAAAGTTAAAAACCAAGGATTTAGACACTGTCCACAAACAGAACTAAACACGCTCAAATCTTTTTACTATATGTCATTTTTTCCATGTTAACATAACTGCATTTTCATTTAAGTGTATCTCTAGTGGTTATTACTTTTTACTAGTGTCACCAAGTAATTAATTTTATGGTTAAAGTGAATATATTAAAATGGAGAACCCCATCCCAGCAACATACCTGCAGTTAAACAATATTACCTCTCTGTGTGGTGAGGATTCAAACCAGTCGATTCGTAATTTGTTTCCTAACCTCCAGGAGGAACGAAAATAAACTGTACAGAGCAAGAAAAAGAACAGAAATTGTATTGGCCTGTCTTGCTGAGTAAAGCGATGGATAAGAGTAATTCTGTGAACAGCATAACTTACTTTATTGCGGAAGGAAACAGCATGCTCAGAAAATGGCTGCTGTCTCTCTGGCGTGGTTGTTTCCACATCTGACACCTACCAGTGCCACTCACAAGGGCGCTGATGGCAGCTGAAAGTTGCAGTAAGAGGAAGGAAAGCATTTCAAGCTGACTCATTTCAACAAGTGAACAAAAATCCCTGGATTCTCTCACAATGGCCCGTGAAAAGTGTGTGTTTGTGTTTTCCCTTTGCTAGCAATGCAAGGTAGAAGTACAAGGTTTGCTTCACGCCTTTCCCCACCCTCTTTTACGTGATGGGGTTGGTGAGTGCGGGAGGATGGCAGCGAGCTCCCTCGCAATGCCCCGTCTCAGTTGGACCACTGCCTACTGCAGATGCGGGAGCCTCTTGTCTGCTTCCCTATAAAAATGAGGCTCTCGATCAGTAACAACCTGTTCTCCAAAAGTGTAAAAATGGTATGTTTGTACCAGGTCCAGCTGTATGTTGGTTTGACCTGATTTTATCAAGCGAAACAGAGGTTTTGATCACTTTTTCTAATATTTCACGTTACTCAAGTCCCATTCAGTAACGCTGTTTCAGGTATGAGATGTAGCAGAGAACTGTTTTGCTACAGGCTCAGACCCGAGGAGACTCCCTCAGCACTGTGGCCCGAAGAGGGGTTTGCTTTCCAAAGTCACTGTAAAGGTCAGATGCAAGTCAGAAGGGGGGGGGGGGGGGGGGGGGGGGGCAGAAAAAGTCCTTTTTGACAGCCATTGAGGTTGTGTTTTGGGAAGAGCCATTCCTAACCCCTCCGCAGAGCTTCTGCTTCAAGCAGAGACCAAACGGCGTAGGTGTCTCATTTTCTGGTTCCCGGGCAGACGCCAAGCTGTTCGGTGGGGAGCGGTCGTTTTGTTGTGAACGTTTGCTGGGTTGTTTCCAGTCAGCGGCTGGGGGTCGGGTTTGGGGGCCAGGCTGCTCGTTTGTGTCCCAGTTGTGCTTGGCGTGGCCACCAAGGATGGCATGAGAGGCTGATGGGGAAAAGGGGGGGGGACTCGAGCACTGCTTCGGAGCAGTCCCTGCGGGGTGAGGTGGCCCTACCACGGTCTTTCTGTGGCCATCGGTGCTCAGCTTTCACTAGGGACAGTGCTCTCGTGCCCGGTGAAGTTCCACAGGGCGAGTGAAGAGTGGCATTTAGGCTGCCCAGTTTACTGCCCAAGCAGGGGGTGACTCCTAAGGGGGGGTATCTCTTCTGTAGTCAGAAAGTGTCATAAACTAGTCAACAGCGATGTACTTCTGCAAGAAGACGACTTGCTGGATGCGAAGTGCTGTGCGTGTGATGCATGAATAAATCCTTTTGAGGTAGCTGATGCCAATAAGGACCCAGGTGGAATATTTCTGTGTCCTCTTTGGGGCACGACCCTTCAAAAAAAAACTATAAGGAAGGGCAAAGGTTAACAGCAAGAATGACAAGGAATTTAGAAAATAGGATGTAGGACAGCAAGTTTAAATAATGCGAGCTGTCATTGGGCTTCTTGGCTAGGCTGTGCAACCTTGGAAGGTCTGTGAGCCTTCTGGAGAGTGGGGAGTAGTCTGTGGTCTGTCTGCTGCGAGTTGGGTAAAGAGCAGTATGTTGCAGCAAGGAAAATGTAGGTTAGGTTTTAAGAAAAAACTTTGCAACAGAGAAGGGAGAGAAGCCCCAGAGAGTCTGCTTGTGGTGGTCCTGGGGTCTCTGACACTATGGGGGGGTTTGAGGAGAGCTGGATAAAGGCTGGTCGGGGGGGTCTAGGTCACTGTTACTGCTGACAGGAGATGGGGGGGATTGGGGGGGGGCTCCCCACAGTCTCTTTGAGACACGTGGTTACTCGTTCTTTATTTTTACGACAGTTAATATTGGAAAATTAGTGCTGCGATGTGAAAAGTGGGAACGTGCCTGCATCTGGCAACTGATCGGCACGGTGTGCGTGCGGGGGTGGAGGTGGGCGATGCGAGAAGGCAGCTCTCTTAACCGGCTCACCCCATCCCAGCAATTGCAGATCACTGCGTCAGTGGGTAGCTCTGCTTCTTTTGAAGATATCCTCTTCTTTGCACATTAATAATTTCTTAAATTTTTCCAGTGCTTTCAGTTATGGGATTTGTACGGATGGCTAAGTACTATTTTTGTAGCTGCTGTACACTGCATAGAAATAATATCAGTGCATCTTCTAGTCTGGATTCTGCATTGCCTCGTTGGTTTTCTTTGTCATGTGTCAGGTCACTAACATCACTTCAGTAGGGTTTTATAATTGCATTTAATATGTCACTTACTATGCACGCCTCATCTGATTTCTATGGTACTAATGAGATAATTTATCTTTGCTGGGTTGCACAGTCAGTTGTGTGTTGATAATGCATTTAATTTTACTGAGTTACAAAATCTTGGCTGATTTTAGAGAAGGGTCAGGGCCAAGATAATTTTGTATTTTAAAATACTTATCAACTCCAAATGCTTCATGTTAGCTTTCTCTTTGTCTTTTGAGCGAGGGCAACTCCATCCTGAATTTTATTCAGAGAATTCATAAAACTTCTGACATTTGATTGAGAGAGGAAACAAGATGAGGAATTCCGTGCTAGCGTTTATTAGCTTTTTAGGACTCATTTTGGCGAGGAGGAGGATGGTGGGGAGGCAGAGCCAGCTTTCCAGTATCAGAGCTATCAAAACAGCAAGCCTTGCTACCTTGCAGCAATAAAAGCCCAGCGAACAAATTTTAATGGGTGAGGGGAATATCTTCCACTACTGCTTTATTATTATTTATTTAAATTTCACAGGAGCTGCATTCTGTGCATCCCTGAACAAGGGATGTCACTTGTAGGAATAGTTTTAGGTTTTAGACACTTTTTCAAGTACTGTATTTCACTCCCGTACAACAGTTTTCTTGCAAAGTTAATTGCTCTTTTATTTTACAGTGACCTTGACTGTGTTTCATATCTGAAGAAAAATGACATTTGGGTTTTCTAATTTAGAAGCACAAAAGAGGTTGAAAGAGACAGCGTTAGTACCTGATTCGCATGCCGAAAAAAGGTGCTTCTGTTAAATTACAGGCTGCTGAAGCTGGGGCCAAAGATAACATTATTAGACTTTTGGAATAAATATGATTAATGGGACAACAGGACTATCATTTGGGCCACCTCTTGTGTATATACCTTATTTATTTTAATGAGTAGGATTTCATCGTTTAAATCAAGTATGTGTGTGCACGTATTTTTTTTTTAACCTCTCTCATTTTCCCCTCATTTGGAGGTTTAAAATGTCTAAAAACGTTCATGTTTTCTGAAGTCCACCCTGGCAGAATTTTTGGAAAAGGAGGAACCTCCCCTCATGTATTGTCTCTTCCTCTGGTTAAGATGTATGAGATTTAGGAGAATACGAGCCATTATTTGTAATGGAAAAAAACTCTCCTGAGATGTGAAAAGAGTAGTCAGTGTGAGAGAGCTGCCACTTTTTCAAGTCTATGAAAAGGTAGCATAAAGTGAGCGCTCTGGCTCGTGCTGAGCTCGCTGGGAACAGCTGCCGTGCAGGATTCCTCCTGAAAACCTTGTCCAAACAAATCATCATTTAAATATAGAATTGTTGCTTTACCAAAGCCTCAGTCTTGAAAGATCTTTCATGTTGGTGCTTGAGATGAATGTGTCGTAGTGCAGAAGCCTACAATACATCTTTCAGTCATCTTTTAACCTCTGTTTGGTATGAGGGGAATCAAAGCGCAGGGCAATGCTCAGCTTGTGCTCGCTCGTGTTTCACGACCGTTTGGTTTTTGTCAAGCCTGTAAAGAAATTTGGAGTCCAGCAATGTTGCTTCCCCCTGCATTGCCTCTCCAAGTATGGATACAGATTGTATAAATTTCCCACTATTTTTAAGACTGAGATGAAGGAGAAAATACCCTTTCATAAAACCAAAGGGGTTTTTTTTAACCGTTTAAAAGCGCAGACATGGTAGATACTGGGTGGACAGTGGCATCAGCGTGATAGATTGGCACAATTCCCGTGCCTCCCGTGGGGTCAGCAGAAGCGTGCATTATTCTGACATGCTGTTTGGGAGAGGGGGGAGGGAATCTTTCAGATCCTTAAATCATCTTTTGTGAGCAAAGATCAGAAAACATTACTCCGGCAGCTGAGCTAGACCTACCGGGTTTTTTCCCCCCTTAAAACACTGCAGTGCACTTTGTTCCTCTTTTCCTTGCCTTGACTTCAGCCCACAGGACAGAGCGCTGCAGCTTCCTTGTGTATGTCCAGTTTTGCACCAGCCTCCATCGTATTTCTGCTCTGAAATTCCGTGCGTCTGTCAACTCTCCCCTGGGAAACAGCTGATTTCTTTGTTTTGGCAAACCAAAATAAAAGCTGAAAACAGAATAAGCACATTTTTTGAATACCAGTATGACCTGATACGCTAAGAGTTCTTGTTTATGCTTGTGTCTGTGACCGAGATGTTAAGTGCCATCTCAGAAACTGCAAATCAGTTAAAATGGAAAAAAAAAAAAGATATTTGGCCTATCTGAAAGGTGAAACATTAATGTTTTTTTCCCTAAGGGCCTGGAAAACCC